TATATCTCCTCTTACAAGTGTTACACACTGTAAATGTCATATGTGTAATTGATTTTGAACAGCATGGCAAAGTATTTTACATTTTGAACCTAGAGAGCCAAAACTTGCTTTGAAGTTTGAGAAGTTTATGATAAAGTACTTTTTTTTTTTTTGGTACTGGGGTTCAAACTCAGGAGATAATTTAGTTTTATTAACTTTTATTATACTTGTAACAAAATTATACCGTCTTTTAACTCTTTATTCAGAAGAATATATTTGATACTTTTCCATAGGAAAAACTGAATCATCTAATGACATAATACTATTTCATTAAAATGTTTGTGTTTCTTGATACTTTCTTTATTTTTTGTGTTCATTAAAAGGCCTTTTTAGGGCTGGGGATTTAGCTCAGTGGTGCAACCACAAGGTCCCAAGTTCGATCCCAGTACCAAAAAAAAAGGCCTTTTTAAAAAATGAGGTTTCATATAAGCAGGGATGTGGTCTTATTTTGGTATTTCCTCAATTTCAAGCTTATTACCTGGCATGTAGTCAATATTCATTGTATTTATAAAATGTATTTTTAAAAATTATAGAATAATTTGATACCATCTTAAGTGCTTTAATGTTTCAAATGATCAAAAATTTTTACTTAAATTTAACAGTGCTTAGCATAATAGCAAACACAGTTTTCTCAGTAAATACACTGTGCATGTAGACACCCTAAAATTTCACTTTGAAAAGAGTCCTTTGGCATTAGTACAGTTGGCTTGAGCTTGAGCCATATAAAGCTTGAGCAATATAATTTGTTCAGATCTTAATCACATTACATAGGTAATTGTTTCATTTTTGCATCTCCTGAACTACAAAGAGATTATAGATGGATATCCTTGCTTATCTTAGTTTTCTGTTATATTCTTGAAAATACAAGTTTAGACTGCTCTAATGATGAGAGTAAACCGATTCTTTACTATTAAGAGCCGGTAGGGTTCTCCAATCATGTCTTTCTATTGCAAGTGAAGTGTTGTGGAAGAGCTGGCTTCTGGCTTGGACATGGAGAAGCTTGGACTTTGTGAGTCCGGCTCTGTGTAGAGGAAGTCAGTGCAGTGTTGAAGGGAATTGATGCAGTGCTTATCTGCCAATGGTAGTCAGCTGTATTTCTGGTATATATTTTCAGAATTAAAAAGAAAAAGGACCATGTTAAGACTTTTATTATGAGAAAGTAAAAGTCAAAATTCTTAAATAGAGCTGGGGATGTAGCTCAATGCCAGCCAGAGGCCTTGGATTCAATCCCCAGCACCACCACCACTACCAGACCATAAATAATCATATGCTTTTAGCATTCTTTATTTAATTCACAATCTGCTAGACTTGGTGTCTAAGCCATTCGGCTTGCCTGAGTCGCATTGAATGAACAAAAATTGTTTTTGGCTGTATATGAAATATATAGTGTAGTTAATTTATATAAGTAACAAAACTTTTGTTTTTTGTTTGGTTTGGTTTGGTACTGGGGATCGAAGTTGGGTCCTTGTGCTTGTAAGGCAGGCGGGGGAACCACAGAGCTCAATCACCAGACCCTAAGTAACAAAACTGTTATTACAACATTAAAAAGAGACAAAGATCCCAATGATGAATGTAACTGTACTGTATACTTTTACAGTATGAATAAACTCAATAAAAAAAGAGACAAAGATAAAACTAGTGAGATATTTAGCCTTGTTTTTGTGAAATGAATACAATGATGTTTGGTTGGATGGAAGGGCTTCCAATTCTTAGTTCACGAGATACTTGTTGAAATTTTTGAATTAATTTTATTGTTTGTGTGCTTCATTCTTGGAAATAGTTCACAAATGTATGTACTGCAATACATACAAAGCAATGACATAAATAAGATATGATTGTGAAGTGAGGGACTTTTTTTCTGTGGAAAGTCAGAGCATGTAAATGTCAGGTCAAGAGATACTATCAAATTTTTCTTTAAGTTGAATGTCTGATTGCAGCTCTGTACATTCCAAAAATTAGAAAATTTATTATTAGTAATATTGCATATGTGATTTTAATATAAGCAAAAATTGGTAGATTTTTGTACTTACTATATCACTCCTGCTAAAAAAGTATTTTATTAAATTATTTTCCCAGACAACACAAGCTCAATTTTAACAACTAAATAAGAAAACTTAGGCATCTGCTTAATAATAATAAATGCCTGTCCTCACTTGCACACACACACACACACACACACACACACACAAAAGTAGATGGAAATACTGTTAAAAGATTGTTGGATCTGCCTGGGCTAGCAATCTGCACTGTGCCTTGGTTCTTGGATCTTATCATGAGAAGGTTTCAGAAGGAAACTGAAAGTCGAAAGTTTCAGGTTCTGCAAGCCAGCTAGTGAGAAACAAGTGTAATACAAATTTCAGTAAGCACTTTATTAAGGACAATATACTTCCCAAGAAGGGCAAATGGGTAACGCCACAGGTGGCAGCTGTCTGCTGTAGGCATCATACACTGGGGGAAGGCCCAAGCAGGCAATCTGGTGAAGGGCAGAGTGTGTAGAGAGAGTTGCAGGAGCTTTCTGGCAAGAACAGTACACTTGGAGGGGTTCCAAGCAGGCAGAGCCTGAGGTAGCACCTGCAGTGAGTCCCAGATTTGGTTTCTCTTTTGTTTTTCCTACAAGTTAAAGGAGTGATTAAGGGTTGTTGTTGATGGAGGATTTTCTTGTTTGTTTTTTCTGTCATCAGGGAGACTCTTACCTTTAAATCAGGAAGGACAATTTTAGAACTATGGTCTTGTCCAGAATGAACAAAGCCCACAAGAAGATCAGAACCACAATGCAGATGTATATAAAGGAGGCCCAGATGGATCAGATAGAGTCTAGTAGAAGCAGTGTGGGGCTTAAGGCTTAACAGGTGTTGACCCCAGACCCTCGTCACTGTAGTTGTGAAAGACTTGGGGTGCCTTACAGGGGAAATTGAGACTGCAAACTCAGAATATTGAGACCAGTTTCTGTTGGTGGGTTTCCTCCCTAGGCTCAGCTGTCACTCTCCACTCCAGGATCTAGCTAACTGTTCACTCTGTCGATATAATTCGTAATCACTGTGCTTTACTCAGCAAGTCTCATAAGCATGTGTAATGTCTGATACAGGTGGCTTTTGTTGCACTCGGTATTGAAACCAGAGCCTTTGCACTGAGCTACATCCCAGGTTTTTTTGTTTTGTTTTGTTTTGTTTTAAGAGACAAGGTCTCGAAAAGCTGCTAAATTGCCCACACAGGGCTTGAACTTGTGATCCTCTTGCCTTAGCCTCCCAGAGTGCTGGAATTATAGGCACAGGTCACTAAACTTGGCTTTCATTTGGATTTTGTTTTAACAGGCACAAGAGGCGGATTTAACACTGCACCGGCGAACCCTCCCCTATGCAGCATTTGTTGTCAGCTATGCATCCCATGCAGGAGCACTGCCTGATAGCAAATATACTATTGAAAGTTTTCAGTCTGGGGCCTCATTACTGGCCGCTCTGGGCTGCAGGTAGCCTGTAGGCCAGGATTGGATATGCCTATTCTAGACCATGGTTTTTCTAATGATATTTCATGTTGAGTAAAGCTTTCAATAGACTATAGCAAAATGAGAAAAATTAGCTTAATGTAGTGTCTATATCGCATAAATTCATACATACTGTCTTTGAAGAATTATCTTTTAAATTTCTTTAAATCTAGACTTCATTTTAAGTTTTAGATTAACAGAAGTTGTAAAGGATAGTATAGAGAATTACTGTATATGCCTTTATTACTTAATTTTTCTTATTAATACATTACTATTCTACATATTGCACTAATATTGATACATTGTTTTGCTAACACTTCATGCTTTATTTGCATTTTTTACCAGTTTTTTCCCCAATGTCTTCTTTCTGATTCACAAGCCTATTTGGGATACCACACTACATTTAGCCAACAAGTTTTTCTAGGCTCTTCTGAGTTGTCAGTTTCTCCAGTTTTTTTAAAGAACAACTTTTTTAAGTCATTGTTTTTCCTACATTCTTTTACCTAATATTCTTTCTTGGATAAGTCAAAAGTGGGTAATGTGTCACTTTAAGAAATCTTTCTGGTCTTTGATATCCAAAACTCTTGAGAACCAATACCTTTGGTTATCAGAAATCAATGTGATGCTGGGGATTTAGCTCAGTGGTGCCGCCACCTGCCTTGCCAGCACAAGGACCCAAGTTCGATCTCCAGTACCAAAAAAAAAAAAAAAAAAACGTAAAAAATTGATGTGATGACCATTACATTGAGAAGGTCTCCATGTTTCCTCACTGTGGCTTGCTTATTTATTTGCAGTGGTGAAAATCAAACCCATGGCCATGTGCATGCTAGGCAAGTGCCTTACTACTGAGCTATGGTCACTACTCACCTTTTGGCTAAGATCAAGTATAGTGCTGTTGAACTATGGCCCTGGCCCAAGAATATGAATTTTAGAATTAATTAGGGAGGAGCAAGTGATCTGATTTGTGATAGCAGTTTGCGCCCGTTAGAGATACTGACCTATGCAGAAAGCTGTAGGAAGTTTATAAACACACTGAGAAACTAGATACACACTATATCAGTTAATCAAAGTGATATTTCTTAGAATTATCTGCAAAATAGAAAATATGGTAGGTGCTTTCACCGTTCTTCATTTTCATCTTTGCAAAACACACCAGAGTTCTAGGTGTCATGGCTGCCTTGAGAGTCTACTAGTTTGCACCCATGGTGATGAAGGTCTGAGAACCACATCCCAAGACAGCAAAGTAATGTTGAGTCTTTGTTGTGGAGGACACAGCTTTTCTGATCCTCAGAGATGGTGGCATCTGCTAGTAGTAGGGCTCAGAAAACCTGGGAATTGGCCAACAACATGCAGGAAGCCCAGAGTATTGATGAAATCTACAAATAAGACAAAAACAGCAGTGAGAAATCCTGGCAGCGAAACCTTGGACCATCACTTTAAGTACTATAAAATCTCAGCACTGGCTCTGTTGAAAATGGTAATGCGTGCCACATCAGGAGGCAGCTTGAAAGTGATGGGTTTGTTGCTTGGAAAAGTGGATGGTGAAACCATGATCGTTATGGACAATTTTGCTTTGCCTGTAGAGGGCACTGAAGCCCGAGTAAATGCTCAAGTTGCTGCATATGGGTGCATGGCCACAGACAAAGAAATGTTGCTACAGTTCTCATAACTATAGATGTTGCTTAGTGTTATTTTGGGTATTCTTGTTAATTTCTTAACTCTACATGTACAGAGTGAGGCTCTAATCTTAGAAATTTAGCAAAAAAATAAAATTCTGCATCATTGGTTCTCAGTCTCAGTTGTCATGCTATCTTCTTAAAGATTATATATTCTTAGGGTGGGGGTGTAGCTTAGAGTGATTGCCTTGCATGTACAAAGCCTGAGTTCAGTCCCCAGCACTGCAGGGGGGAAAGAAAAGATTTAAACATTCCTTCAGACCCTCAGATTTATTTTTTCTCCAATTTATCCCAGAAGCTTAAGTGTTGTGTGACTCAGTGTTAAAGAATATATCAGGTGTTTTTATCAATTTTAGTTAGCTTGAGTAGATTTCCAGATGGCAAGCAGCACACGAAGAGAGTAGGAACTCGTTTAAGGGACGTATGCTAACATGGTTATAAGTGGAAGCTAAGTCAGTAAGTATGCCTTGAGCCCTGTAGTGTGCTCCTGCTTATAGACTAAACTTCTACAAAAATAAAGCCACTGGGGCCGGGGTTTTAGCTCAGCAGTTCGGTGGCCTGCCTTGCAAGTGCAAGGACCCAAATTCAATCCCCGGTACCAAATAAATAAAGCCATAATCTAAAGCTGTAGCATTCAAACTATTTGTTCATTTTCTCTTTCATTAATTTACAAAACTGTACAATATCTAATAGAAAGTTTGTGAGGACAATTAATATGTATGCCACCATATTTTCCCTTTGTAAGAGATTAATTTTGCAATATGAGGATCGAACCTGGACCTCATGCATGCTAGGCAAGGACTCTTTCACTGAGCTGCAATCCCACCTAGTGGTGGATTTTGAAATAACACATGCGCATCCACAAAATGTGGTCATCACTATTCCAAACTGTTGCAAAAGCAGAGTTGAAAATCACAGGACTTTGACACACACACCCCATGCTGGACGTTGAACCAAGGGCCTTCATACTGAGCTGTAGCCCCACTCCTTTTTTAAATTTTTTGTTGTAAGGCAGGCCTTGCTTATTTGCTAAGTTGCCCAGGCTGAGCTGTTACTTGCAGTCCTCCTGCCTCAGTCTCCCAGAGTGCTAGAATTACAGGTGTGCACCACCACTTGTGGCTTAAAATTATTTGTGACTTTATTTGTTTGCTTTTTTTTTTTTTTAATTTTTGAGACAGGGTATCACTATGTAGTTGAGACTGATTTGCAACTCACTATGTAGCCCAGGCTGGTCTTGAACTCACAGTGATCCTCCTGATTCAGCCTCCCGAGTGCTGGAATTACAGGCGTGCACTACCATGCCCAGCTCTTATTACTTTAAATCGTATGAACAAATAAAATTAAACATATTTCATAGAGCACACAGATGCACTTAATTTGTACAGTCTTGTATGCATGATTTCTAAGATCATAAAATAAAAATTTTAAACCAAGAATAACATCATATATAACACCGTTAATACTATGTTATACTAAACAAAATATCTTTCAATATAATTGTATTCGGGAACAAAATACACGAAATTTAAAGGAAGAGAGGTTTAATTCACCTCATGGTTTCAGAGGCAAACCCATTCTGGGTTTGGCTGGCTGAAAGGCAGGTACTGCCTTGGTGTACGGGCGAGGTGGGGCAAAGCTGCTCACTTCATGCTGCTGTAAAGCAGGGAAACTGCCAGGGAGGGAGGGGCCGGGCCCTAGAGCTGACCCACCCACACACGCCTGAAAGTGCGCTTTACTCACACCCTGGGCAGCTCTCAAGCCAATCAAGTTGACAGTCCAGTGTGGCTGTTAACAACAACATAAGAATTTCCCAGATCTGGATGCCTGAGTCCGCGCTCTGTAGAAATGTTACACGGATGCTGTCAATTAAATTGCAGTCCGATTATTTACTTAGATTATTAGTCTTTAGTAATATTAAAAATGGATCATTTAGTTACAAATACCAAGTTTACTGACTTTTTTTTTTTTTTGGTACCAGGGATTGACCTCAGAACCTTGTGCTTGTGACTCAAGCCACTGAGCTATGTCCCCAGCCCTTAACTGACTTTTAATAACTTAAGTAGTGCTACTAAAAAGTCCTGCCCACCATTAAAAAAGAAAAAAAAAAAAGAAATTTCAAATCATTTGCCTATTAGAACTAAAGAAAATCTTATATGCACTTTTAGCCTATGAGGGGGTTCCAAGACATGCCAAAGGAGTCTTGAAGATTCACTGGAACAGTACAGTGCTGTAAAGTACATATTGGTATACCCGTCACTAGTGGAAACTCTTCAGGAGGCACCACCACTGTATCTCGAGATATGATCGGAATTTGAGGCTGAATTATTTGTTCTTTAAGAAACATCATAGCAGTTCCTATTATATGTTTTAAGAAGCCAGTTGGTGCTGTAATTGGCACAAATGATTGTGTACAGTGAATCTGGGGAAAACTATGTAATATATGTGCCCTGGAAGCAAAGCTCTTTGAAACCAAGCAGACCTGAATATAGTAAAAGTGACAGAAAGAAAACCTTTGTCATCAAACATGATAGTTGCTTACTAGCTACGTAGGACTTCCATATATTGAGTAGGAATCCATCCTAAGAGAAGGCAGAAGAGCCCACAGGAATGAAAAGGAAGGAATGCAGTGAGAAACATTTTGTCCTCAGATGCTTCTGTAGGTCTCCGATATATTTATTTTCTTGTAGTAGCTGCCTGACAGAGTGTGAGCTCCTTTTCATTTCTGAAGGTATTAACTAATTTGTATCTAAAAATAATGTACCTGCTCACTTGTGAAAGAAAAAAAATCAGTTGTTTAACTCTTTAATAATTAAATAGGTTGAGTCTATCTGCATTTAAGGCCACTAATAGTGTTTGTAACCTGATAAGTTAAACCAGCAGTAAAGTATCATGACAGCTAGCCTTATTGACTATTACTTTTTCTCTTGTTTGTCTTAGGGTTTTGACCCACCCCATCAAAGTGACACAAGAACTATTTACATAGCCAACAGGTTTCCTCAGAATGGCCTTTACACACCTCAGAAATTTATAGATAACCGGATAATTTCATCTAAGGTAAGGATTAACACTTCTATTATTAAGATTGTAGATATGTATCGTTTTATTTTGAAAAGTGATTTAGTGTGTGTTTGAGTATTTATGTCATTACAAAGTCAAGAAAATGGTGTAATAGATTATCTTTTTTTCATTGTTTATTGGTACATTTAAGGTCAACAATACAGTTACATTCATTGGGATCTTGTACCTTTACATAATGTATCTTGGTTCTAATTTTTTTCCCATTCCCCTGCCCTCCCTTCACCCCCTCCACTCCTCTATTTACAAAGACTTTGTTTCCATTTTTTCCTTTTTTCATATTTTTTCTTTTCCCTTATTTCCTTTCCCCTCCCCTTCCCACTTCTCCTTTAGACCTTCTCTTCCTATTTCACATTACCAATTATACCATTTGAACCTTATTTATACTTTTAGTTTTTCACACCACAGAAACTATTTCGCTGCTTACTCAGGTGTGTCCTATTTATTTCACTTGAGTATGGCCTCAATGTGCATCCATTTAGCTATAAATAGATTATCTTAACCAAAATGAAAAGTCATATAATCATAGTCCTCTGGGAGACTGAGGCAGGAGGATCACAAGTTCAAGCCCTACTTCAATAATTTAGTGAAATCCAGCTTCAAAAATGAAAAATGTAGCTTAGTGTGAAGGCCCTAGGGAAAATACAGAGAAGAAGATAGGGACCTAGGATTTAGTTCAGTGGTCTACCACCTGCCTCGCCAAGAGCAAGGACCTGAGTTTGATCCCCGGTACCAAAAAAAAGAAAAAAGAGGAAGATGGGATAAAATGAGTTGGGAGTCACTATTACTGGGTAGGCAGCTTGCCAAAAATTATCCTTAGTTACAATTAAACTAATATTTATACTACATAAGGAGTACTTATCCAGTGGTCATTAATTCTGTCATTTAATCCTTATAACAACCATTGAGAGAACAGTTATTAAATCTATTTTACAAAATGTTATTATACTCATGTCACTTTCTTCAATTTAAATGTTAGGAAATGGAATGACTTTTCCAAGGTTGCACACTGGTAAGTGGCTACATTGGAGTTTGAACTCAGTTCCCTAAGACTCTAAAACCTGCTTGCTCCAATTAGGTCACTCTACTGTAAATGTTCCATCATAGCAGAATACTGCTTCACTCTTATTCTTCCTTGTTTCATTTTTCCTATGACATTTTTAAGATGTCTGTTTATTTTGAAGCCACAGATTATACAGCAATACTATCTAATAGACTTTTCTCCCTGGTGGAAACATTTTCTACATTCTCCAACGTGGTAACTTTTAGCCACATAGGGCTGTTGAGGTCTTAAAATGGTACTGGTGCCACTGAGGAGATGCATGTTGTTGATGGCTGCCCTACTGACAGTGCTGTTATAGAGGACTCAAGTCAGAGACTGAGGGTAAATCTCTCCTTGGATCATAGCTATTGCTTGATAGGGCACCTTAAGACGCATCTTTGTATTGCTTCGTAACTCCTTTCCAGAGAGTAAGAATTATTTTTCTAATCCTGATTTCATCTTTCCCAAGGATCTTGCCTCTGTTCACTGTTTGCTTTGTCCTGCCCCTTTTTTTCTGCCTTCATATTATTTACGTATTAACATACCCGTTGGTGACAGCAGGTTATACTGTTCCATATGAATCATACCCAGTGTTTTGGAAAACCTAAAGCAGAGGGTAGGAAGAAAAATATCAGAATCTAGGAGGATGATGTCACTAGAATCTAAGTGACTCGCTTCTTAGTAAGTCATATTAAAACCTAAAATCCTTGGGCTGGGGATGTAGCTCAGTGGTCCCACCACCTGCCTGGCAAGCACAAGGATCTGAGTTCAATCCCCGGTACCTACCCGCAAAAAATTAAAATCCTTCAAAACTTGAAGGTCATTCTTAAGCTGGAGTGTAATATATGTAGAAGAAAATTCATCAGTTGTTGTTGTTGTTTGTATTTATTTATTTATTTTTGGTTCTAGGGATTGAACTCAGGACCTTGAACTTACAAGGCAGAACTAAGCTAAATCCCCAACCCTGGATTATTTTCTGAATTTGGCTCTTTTTCTTTGTGCCATTCTCTCCCTATGTACTTGTATTTTCCCCTTACCTTTCCAATTGCTTATTCACCCTGAACTCTCATCTCTGTTGCATTTAATTGGTAAGGCTGTAGTACACACACACACACGCACACATCCACTGGTTTGCTGCCACATTTGTGGGAATTGGATAGTATCTCTCAGCTGAGAAGCCAAAAATATATAATTCCTACCATTTCCATTTGCAGGTTGTTTTTTTTTTTTTTTTTTTTTTCCTTTCAAAAGCTCTTTTACTTTACCTCTATTTTGGACATTTTCCAGGTTTTTTAAGTTTTTATAATTTTTATCTACTGGGAGCTCACAGGACCACTTAAGGCTTTTAGCTGTACTGGAAGCTAAGTTTGCTTCTGGAAAACTTTTGGTTTTAAATAAATACTTTTATATGGCTATGTTCATGTGCAGCAGTATTAGGTTTAATATTTATTTTTTTCCCATGGTTTCAAAAATGTAGATGTTTTAAAACATTGCCGTTAAATTTTTCTGACATAAAGAAGGACCATCTCTCATTATATATAACGCCCTTAGTTTATCTTTCTTTTATACACCACTGTTGCTCTTTTAACCCATTTCTGAACTTGGTTATTTGTTCTTTCACAAGTTCATGTTGAACTTTCCTAATCTTTTGATTTGCCGGATTTCATGTTGGAAAACAATTTTTAAAAATAAAATTTTGGGGCCAGGGATTTAGCTCAGTGGCACTGTGCTTGCCTCACAAGTGCAAGGTCCTGAGTTCTATCCCTGGTACTCCCCAAAAAATAAATAAAAACCTAAAAAGTAAAATTTTGTGGAGTTTTTGGGTTTTTTTGTTGTTGTTGTTTTGTTTTTTATTTTTTTAGATAGAATCAGGCTGGCTTCGAACTCATGGTGATCCTCCTGCCTCAGCCTCCCAAGTGCTGAGATTACAGGCGTGTGCATCACCACACCTGGCAATTTTGAGGAGATTTTAGATTTAGTTTTTTGGTACCGGGGATCAAACTCAGGACCTTGTGCTTGCCAGGCAGGCACAGCACCACTGAGCTAAATCCCCGGCCCTTTAGATTTGCTTTTGTAGAAAGGTAGAATTCATATGTTCAAACACAGTTTGAAGAATGTAGCTATTTATGTAGATACTTATTTTCTTCCTAGGCATAAATGAAGACTGTCTCTTGTTTGTACTCCCATCATTCCCTTAAACTCTTTCCTGGCTGTGTTACCTCTTTCCCACAGAGCCACGTTGAACTTCCACTGTTCCTTTGCTTATATTGTCCTGTCTTCCAGAATTGTTCTCCTGTACTTGTCTTTGATTTCCACCCTGTTTAATGTTCCTCTTTAAAGCCCATGTCAAATATGATTTCCTTCATTAGATTTTTCTATCTCATTGCTTTTCCTTTGAATTATTTCTGTGTTCTTTCATTTACTGAATCTTTGATATTTTTTCTTACTCTCCTCTTTTTAATAATAATCTTTTGTTTCCCCAATGTATAATTTATACACCATAGATATATTGACTGTAAAACTACCTTAAATTTAAACTTCTTTGCAAAATTAGTTTTCTTACCAATGTAAGGCCTCAGGGAGAAAAAAAGCAATTATAAAGTCGTATGTAACAGTAGGATGTCATGCTAACTCATTTATTTTAACCACTATTACATTGTTTAATATTACCCTAAGGAAACTCCTTTCTGTGGTAGGGTAAGCATAGAAGTAGATCATTCAATCTCTTAATATGTTTATATTTCAGAAAATGTGGAAATAATAGTTCTTATCATTTACAAGATAGTTTGCATACAAAATTTTTATTTATCTTAGTTTTACTTCTAATTACTCAGCTAGCCAGAGAAAATGCTCTGAAAATAATTACCTTACTCTAGTTTATGTAGTTGTCCTTAAGATTCTAGAAGACTATTATAATTGAGGTAGCTTGCTATAAATTTAAGATGTTGCCAACTTAATTCTTAAAATTCTTACCACTATAATTGTTTTGTTTTGTTTTTTTTTGGTAACAGGGATCAAACTTAGGACCTTGTGCTTGCGAGGCAGAACCACTGAGCTGAATCCCTGGCCCACAATTACATTTCTTAATTCTTACATTGCCAACTTATTCTTAAGCATTTGATTTGGTGACTGGGGAAGTTATGTGTAGTTTTTTCGACCCTTGTAGGGAACACCTTTTACTTTAGTTAAGATCATCTAGAGATGACTTGACCCAAAGGTACCAGCTTATGTACACATTGAACAGTAACTTCTTTCGATTCCATAAGGAAGTATCTACCTCTCTTCTCTCTTGAGCCCTGTACATTGCCACTATTGAAGGAAAATATGTTTCATGTATCCCAGATTCAACTGGACATAAAATGGTACCTAAAAAAGAAAGATTATTAGGTATTATTTGTTGTACTCTGTATATACCCCTAGTATAAGCTTTAGTGGCCTCTTCTGGAGCCTAACTCTGTTTATAAAATTGTTTATATGGGAAAGGATACTTGTAGGCCTCAAACATCTGATTTAGAAGTCAACTATACAAAAATCCAGGAATTAGGGCCATCTGTCTGAGTTACTTTTCTCATTGCTGAGACAAACTACCCGACACACAAAGTTAAAGGAGAAAAGGTTTATTTTGGCTCACAGTTTGTAGAGGTTTCAGTTCACAGTTGGCTGGCTGCGAGGCAGAGGGGTATCGCAGAGGAGAAATAGTTCATGGAAGGCAGCAGCAGCAAGCCAAGGGACAGCAGCAGCCCTCTTCCTGTCCCTTATGTCCTATCCAGGCTGCCCACCCTGAGGCAGAATCATACTCACACCCAGGCAGGGCAGCCTTAATCATAGCATAGCACTGTGAATGGACCCCAGCATCACACCCTTGATCCTAGCAGCAAGCACCCTAGATCTATTCACCTCCCAAAAGCCCCACCTATGATCACATGAGGCTTTGAGGGGGACATCAGATATAAGCCATAACACTATCTTACATTGCACCAGAAAAGAATTTAAACTGTTTAAAAATCTTAAATTGGAGCTGGGTGTGGTGGTACACACCTGTGGAGAGGCTGAGGCAGGATGAATCACCACAAGTTCAAGGCTAGCCTGGGCTGCATAGAGAGACCCTGCCTCAGAAAAAAAATCTTAAACTGAGCAGTAATCGTTAACTTCATTGCTAAAATCAGAATGTTTCTCAGAAAAAGCATATTTAATAATTTTTATTTATTCACTAATCAACTCTGCAAGTATTTTATCTCCAACTACGTGTGTGTACCAAGTAGTAGCATAAGTACTAGAGGTGAAATGAGGGCTGGGGATTTGGCTCAGTGGTTCTGCCACCTGCCTTGCAAGCACAAGGGCCCGAGTTCGATCCCCAGTACAAAAAAAAAAAAAACCCAAAAAACTCAAGGTTAGAGGTGAAATGATACATACAATGATGTTCCTAGCTTTAGGGCTCTTACATTCTATTGAGAAAATATACATAGGGTAGAGTAAAGGTTCTACAGTTTCCCTATTTCATATGTAAAATTATGTTGTAATAATACAAATAAAATTGTATAGTATATTACTCTGCTCCTGTACTATAGCATTATAGGCTTATGAGCTGATTGATGATATAGCAAATATTTATGTAGCAATTAGTTTGGGCCAGGTTCTCTCCTAAGTGCCTCATAAATATACTAGCTTGCTTAATCTTTGTAAGAACCCCATAAGGCATGGTTATTATTATCCTCATTATAGAGAAATAAGACTAGGGTACAGAGAGATTACATCCAAGCTTATCTAATGACAATTACAATCAGGATTTGGATTTATAGTAGTTTAATCCTCAAACATCTGTCTTTTTTGACCACCATACCATTTTACCGTTTAAAATTGACATTGTGACAGAGTTTTATATCCTTTATGGTTGTCCCAGGGATCATTTATGTAAAGTCTTCTTACTTCTCCAACAGTTTAGATTCTTTCTCCATATTCCATACCAAAAAAAGAATAGTTGAGTTACACCATTTTGTTTCTGGCCCTGAACGAAATAAAATATAAAATAAATGGTATGTAACGTTAGCATTCTTAATGGCTTTTACTCATCTTTACCATTAGACTTAGTTTTATATAGCCAAAGTTCAAAATAATCTGTTGCAAGGCTGTTACAAATCTGCCTTCTCTAATTTCTAAAAAGTCACTTTAATAGCAAAATTGATAGCTTCCAGTTTATTTCAATTTTTTAAAGTTATACTAAATTATAGAAGAAGAAAGGAAAGTAGAATAAAGGTCTTGAACTATGGAGACCAAATAGTTTCTATAGCATTCAGTTGCATGAATTTGTCTAAGGGCCTAGTAATTCTGATTTCACTTTTCTTATAATTATATCTATGTAGTATATGTTGCTTGAAATATTAATTTATTGATCTTTTTTTTTTTTTTTTAGTATACTGTATGGAATTTTGTCCCCAAAAATTTATTTGAACAATTCAGAAGAGTGGCAAACTTTTATTTTCTTATTATATTTTTGGTACAGGTAAGCTTTATCACCCAGTTGTTGTTTGTAAACATGGTTTCTAAAAATATGTCTTAGAACAGGGAAAGATTACATTGGTTTCGTAATCAGTTTACCATGGGACTATTATTTTTCTACAAAGCTTTCATATTGTATTCAGTGAATAAATAATCTTAATCACATCTAGATTTCTAAAATATAGCCTATGAATATTAAGATCAATTATATTTTGTTGCATTACTGTCATACTGTAGTGTTGATAATTATAATCTAAGCCAATCATCTTTCACATGCCCTCCTCAGAACATAAGTTTTGTCTGTTAATATATACAAGCCTGCCTGTGGAATCACCTTTGTACAAAGTACCTTTTAAAATTTAAATTCTATTTTATATGGGAACATTTGTATAAAATACTTTTTCTAATCTAAATTTTATTTTATCTGGGAGCAGTGATGTATATACCTTTAGTACCAGCTACTTGGGAGGCTGAGGCAGGAGGATTACTTGAGCCCAGGAGTGTGAAGCCAACCTGGGCAACATAGCAAGACCCGTCTCAGACAAACAAATAAATCAGTACATTTTGCTTTAATCTAAAATATTTTAAGCAATTCTAATGTTTAAGCACTCCGGTGGATATGGATTCTTATTCTGGAGACCCTTAGCTTAAATCTGTGTTCATTAGCGTGACAGCCTTTCATATTATGCTTTTTTTTTTTAATATATCAAATTATCAAGAAAGCCCATGAAATTTAAGTGTAAGATGTAAAAATGGCAAGTATTTTACTTTAAAGAGGTAATTCCTTTCTGAAAAACACTTAGAAATTTCTTTGAATGTGACATTGAATTTTTGTATAAACTGAACCTTCCTTCTCAGTAGAACCAGGGATTTCAAAGAGGAAATAGTCAAGTAATCATTTTAAAGCTTGAGAAAACATTTACTTTTTTAAAAACTTTCTTTCCACCATGAACAGAAGGAACTCTACTGATTTTGTTAGTAGACCACCTGCTTGGTTTTCTTGGAAAAGTGAGAAATACTAACCATATCCACGGAGTATGCATGCATTTGTGAAATTGCTAACTAAGGTCAGGAATTCAGCATGTCTGAGGAATAGCACAAATTTAATTGGCCTGTCCAGAGTAAAGGAACATTAATAAATCATCAGATAATGTTCTGGTGAACCATATATAATTACTCCAAATACTTCTTCTCTAGCAATTTACTCAAACTTCAGTTTTATGATTTATGTCATAATTGTAGTACCATTTTCCTAGCTATCTTCCTCTGGCTCTTCTGGAACAAAATCACTTGTAGGAAAAATTCTTTTCATATTTCCATTCCTAGTTCTTTCTCGCCAGTGTTAGATTTATTCTGAATTCTAGTGTAAAAATTGCTGACAGAATTTTTAGCTTTTTTCAGGATGCACAAAGAAATGCGAAATCAGAATTGAGCAGCTGCAGCTCCACTCCTAGGCAATATTGAGGAAGAAATTAAGCACCCTGGGTGTTAAGAAAGCAAACTGACTGACCATTCTAGTACATATGTGGTGTCCAGTAAATTTAAATATTCTACCAATCCCAGATAGTAGCCAACAAAGTAACACTGTGAACGCAAATATACTCCCGGCATAATAGTATGCGATTTTAGATATTAATAGCATGACGTGCACAATATGAAAATATAATACTCTGCATTTTTTTAAATCTAGCTTATGATTGATACACCTACCAGTCCAATTACCAGTGGACTTCCGTTATTCTTTGTGATAACAGTAACCGCCATAAAGCAGGTATGAAATATCTCCTATTATTGTTGTTTTATCCCTATTCATTCAGAAAGTTGCTAAATATTTCCATTCCAGAGTAATATGTAGTGTTCTAAAAATAATTTCCATAAGAAAACAGCAAATTTGTTTGATAACATAATAAAATTAAACTGAGTTAGCCACTCTACTATATTTCACAGTATCTGATGACTCATGAATGTTTACTATTTGTAAAATATTGTATTACCTTCACACAGAGAGGAAACATCTAAAAACAGGTGTTATGTGTATAAGACAATTTACATATGAAACATTATTATAATCAACTCTATAGGGTTTGGTGTTATTTAAAGAAAGTGTAATTCCGAAAAGATATGTTTATGTGATAAATTTCCAATTTATAGGATGTAGGGATAGGGTATATATAGATTGACATGGAAATAAAATTGACAAAAGTTTTAAATTTCTAGGATGAAATATATTTATTACATAGAATGAGAAGAGCCTACAAATTAACAATAAAGCTAAATTATAATTAAAAAGGAAAGATAGATATAGGAATTAGAAATAGAAAGAAGATACTGTGGACCCTCAAGTTACAATTAGCCTGACATACATACAAACAACTTGAGTTATGATCAGAATGTTAGTTTAAACTTAAAACCAAAGTCTCTGTGTGTGTGTGTGTGTGTGTGTGTGTGTGTGTGTGTGTGTGTGTGTGTGTGTGTGGTAGTGGGGATCAAACTCAGGACCTTGTGAGGCAGGCAGTGCCACCACTGAGCTAAGTCCCCAGCCCCAAAATCTTAAATTATGATCTGAATGCTGGCCACTTGCACTTCCAGATGGTGTCAGATACAGCTTTAACCTTTATAAAGAGTTCTGGCAGGAACATTACAACATCCTTGCCTGTGTGGGGTTAAGTGAGAAATCCTGGGCCAATGTCTCTCTAAGGACATTGAGATCTGTCTGCACACAGGAGAGACTTGCCCAGGCTGTGTAGAGGGGCCTGAGCCTTAGTGGACCAACTTGAATTACAGCCAGCCCTCAGGAACAAATTGAGTTCAAGGGTCCACTGTATCGGATCTTTCTCACATGGGAAGGGGATGATAAGATAGAGGAAAGGAGGGCCAGGTATTTAGCTCAGTGGTGCCGCCATCTGCTTCACAAGCACAAGGTCCTGAGTTCAATCCCCAATACCAAAAACAGCAAAACAAAAAAATAGAGGGAAAAGGAATGAAGATATGTTATGTACATGGCCCGATACAACAAGGAATGTCAACATTATGTACTGCACACATGTACTGACAAAAATTTTTTAAAACATGAAATAGCGATTTTCAATGAAATAGACAAGTTGTAAAAAGTAGTTGGGAACTGGAGTTGTAATGGATCATGCAAAACTGCTTAAACAATACATACAGGTCTATTATATATAAAGTCTGTTTATTTGATTAAAGCGATCATGATATTTTAACAAATTGCATTAATCATGTAGTGTGTCAGAGAGTACTATGCCACCGCTCTTACGAAGTTACTTACGTGGCTTTGCAGATGTCATTTAATTCATGAGAGTAAAATACACTTGCACCTCTTCTCTATGTATTCTTTCCTCCTAGGTGATTTGATCTAGTCCACTGGTTTAAAGTACCATCTATACATTGATGGTTATTACATCTATATATTGATAGTTTCTATTCTAAAACTACTCTTTTAACTCCAAACACACATGTACAAGTCTTAGCACATCATTTCCACCTGTATACCTCCAAAGAATCTCAAACGGAACTGTTGCTATTTTTCTAGCTAAAGCTGCACTACTCTCACTATTCAGTTTATGGAAGGTACTACCATATTTCCACCACAAACCTTGATATCCTTATCCTTTGACTGTTTTTATCTCTACCTGCAAGATCAACCTGATTAGTTCAAGTCACCAGCCATTACCCCTTCCCTGGACGATTATGTTATTCTCCTAATAGGCTCTCACTTCTACTCCTGTCCTCCTGCTGATTTCATACAGCAACAGGGTTGATCTCTTAAAATTAGATCATACTACCCATGAGTGGTTTCTTATCAAACTGGTCAAAACAGAACTTGTTGGTGGTTTACCTAGTTTCTACCATTTTTCCTTTTACGTCTTGTTCTCCAGTTTACCTTGTCCTCACACACAATGGGCAGCTCCTCTCTCATAACTGTGACTTGCTATCTGTCTTCCTGGAAAGTTTCCCACCAGATACAAAATTGAACAGCTCAATCCCTCATTTTTACCTGGATTCTTTTTTTTTACCCCCCAGGACCCCTCTCCTTTTTTTTTTAAATGACTTTTATGCTTGTGAGGGCAGGGACTTTTTTTTTAATATACTGGTTTATGTTAAGGAGCCAGAACAAGGTCATACACATGTACAGATGTTAATAAATATTTGCTGAGGACCAGGAATTTAGCTCAGTGGTTCCACCACCTGCCTTGCAAGTGCAAGGACCCAAGTTTGATCCCTGATACCAGAAAATAAAAACATAAAAAATAAATACATACTTGCTGAGGGCCGGGGATTTACCTCTGGTTCTGCTGCCTGCCTCGCAAGTGCGAGGACCTGAGTTCCGTCCCCACAAATTTGCTGAATAAACGAATGAGTGAATAAACCTATGGAACATTTTTAAAGCAAAATACTTCTTGACATTATCTTCCAGTGTATATTTGCCCAAATATGGATTGCATTTAACTAGAATATCATAACATTAACTGAATTGAAAAAAAATCATGGTGAATGCATATCTGCAAAATAAGATTTTTAATAAAATTGATAGCTTGCTTTCTTAAAAAATGGGTTAAGTAAAAATGCATAAAATCTAAAGATATGAACCAGAAAGATTGTACCTCAAACTTATTAGTATAGCTTTTGCAGCTAAGTACTAAATTGAGATGAGAGGTTTTGCTCAGGAAAAAGGAGAGATACAAATGTGATAGAATTTTCAAAAGGTATATTTGATATGTAAGGATTTTCTCCCTTTTCAAAACAGAATTTCAGGCTCAGCTTTTCCTCTTTGTAACAACTGTTCCCAAGTTTTATTCATTTAATAAACACAGTGTTTCTGTATACTGTTCAGATTTACATGTGTGTCACTATAAATCAATAGAATAAATTTTTAAAAATTATGAAAGTGAGAATTGCCGTGTTCCAACCATCCCTTTTTCTTTTCTCTCTATTTTAGTGTGCCTTTTGCCCTTTGTACCTTTACCAGAATAGGAAAAGGCTGTGTTATCAGTTGTTCTTAACTTTTCCCAACTGTATATGCAAATCATGTTCTGTAATGGAAGATATAGTGCCCTAGTAAATAAGATAGTCTTTGCCCTCTACAAGTTTAAAATCTATATATTAGGGTAAGGTCCAAATTTAAAAATAATTCTGGAACACTTTACCTATATGATCAGGGAGGATTTTGTGGAGAAAATATTAGGATGTGTATAGAATATGGGTAAAATGACAATTGATGAAGAACATAAAGTAGAAACAACTTGAGCAAAAGCCCAAATTCAAGAACAGGTAAGACCTGTTTCTGGGTAAATTACAAGGCTGATTAATGTTTGTGTCTGTCTAGGAAAATGTTAAGAGATAATATTGGAAATGTGAGTTGGTACTAATTTAAGGAAACTGGAAAGTTTTTTGCTGTAAGCATTGAATCGTTGAAGGGAATTTAGCGAGACAGTGAAAGCAATGTTTTGGAAAGATTAATCTGACAGTAATATGTACAATGAATTAGAATTTATAAATGTCTTTTAAAAGATAATATTTTATTACTGCTCCACTGTTAATATCATCTGACTGTAAAAGGAACTATACTTTTGACAGTTTCAAAAAGATTGTTTTGACCCTCATGTAAATCTTTCTAAAATTAGCATATTGAAGCTTAAATAGAGCCATCATAACCTAGGCATCTTGAGAGTACTTTCACAGAGGTTTTCCCAATGTTAAAGACAATCTTTAGGGCTAGGGGTTTAGCTCAGCAGTTCGGTGGCCTGCCTTGCAAGTGCAAGGACCCGAGTTCTATCCCCGGTACAAAAAAAAAGGACAATCTTTAATATTGTGCTTTATTGTTTATGATATTTTAATATTTTAAAATAATGGGTATACTTTTTTTTAATGGGTACAGCACAAAAATAACACATAGTAAAATTCTCTGCTCCTAACTTCTAACGTGCTAATTCTCCCCGGAAGGAACAATTATTTGTAAATTAATCCAGATGTCTGTGTAAGGTGTTGACATAGACAAGCATACTTTTTCATAAGTGACAGTATAGAATATAACTTAGAGTATTTTGTCCCTTTTTATCACTTAATACATCTTAGATATTATTATTTATATTTGTGCTATACCACTGGGTTCTTGAATTTTCATTAGATAGGAAGTCTTTTCCACTTGACAAAATTGCCACTCATCTTAATTATTTTCTCATAATACCCAACACCCACAATTTATTTATTTTTTTATTGAGTTTATTGGTACTTTTTAGGTATATAGTTACATTCATAATTGGGATCTTGTACCTTTGTATGACAGATCTTGGTTATCATTTTTTCTCCATACCCCTACCCTCCTTTCAACCCCTCCATCCTTCCCTATTTACAAAGACTTTGTTTTCATTTTTTTCCTTTTCTCACATTTTTTCTTTTCCCTTATTTCCTTTCCCTTAGCCTTTCTACTTCCTCTATGCCTTTAGCCCTTTTCTTCCTATTTCACATTATCAGTTATACAATTTGGATCTTATTTACACTTTTAGTTTTTCACTTCAGAGAAACTATTCGATATTTATATGTTTGTCCTATTAATTTCACTTAAGAGTATGGCCTCAATGTGCATCCATTTTCCTATGAATGACTCTAGTTTCTCATTCTTTATGTCTGAGTAGCGCTCCATTTTATAGAAAAACTACATCTTCTTTATCCACTCTCCAACTGATGAAGATTTATTTCAAGGGGGAATGAATGTCATACTTATGAGCATGCACATCAGATAGCCTAGATAATTCTGATGAACAAACTGTTTGGGGGAGTTTTATGGGTTGTTTTTTTGTTGGTTTTTTTTCTCTCTCATTTGATAAAAACACCTCTATACTAAAAAGAGGATTTTTTTTGTTTTAATACTTTCAGGGATATGAAGATTGGTTACGACATAACTCTGATAATGAAGTAAATGGAGCTCCTGTTTATGTTGTTCGAAGTGGTGGCCTTGTAAAAACTAGATCAAAAAACATTCGGGTATGCATCTGCTAAATAATAGAAAATTGTATTTTGATATGGTATATAATTCTAGTCTTGATTATATATTGGTTAAAACCTTTTTTTTAAACACTAAAATACTATAACAGGGCTGGAAGCATAGCTTAGACTTACCTAGCATACTTGAGACCCTGGATTTGATACCCAGCACTGCAAATCGTCATCGTCATCATGGTGTAGGCCACTTAATGTAGAAACCAGAAAAAATGTCTTTGCCTTTTAAAATCTTTATATTCACTTTTCCCCTAAATTCTTTCTAGGTGGGTGATATTGTTCGAATAGCCAAAGATGAAATCTTCCCTGCAGACTTGGTGCTTCTCTCCTCAGATCGACCTGATGGTTCATGTCATGTTACAACTGCTAGTTTGGATGGAGAAACAAATCTAAAGGTCTGTTTGTGTATATGTCTGAAGGTTGTTCTTGATGAATAAAATACCTCTGGATGATAATGATATTTTCCTTTGGTTGAAATGATAAATTGACCTGATAAAGGAGAATTTTTTAAATTTATTGATACATACTTTAAAACATAAAAGTTTTTTAAAAGAAAAGGTTATATATTTATTTAAATAGTAGCTTCATGTGGTTTAATCAGCTTAATTTGAAAATGGAAAATGTTTTTTGTTTGTTTGTTTTGTTTTGGCTTGGTTTTGGTTTTTTTGAGACAGGGTCTCACTATATAGTTGAGACTGACCTCGAACTCGCTAGCTAGCCCAGGCTGGTCTCGAACTCACAGCGATCCTCCTTCCTCAGCCTCCCAAGTGCTGGGATTACAGGCGTGCGCCACCACACCTGGCTTTGAAAATGTTTTTTTTTAAATGTCTTTTAATATTTTTTATGGGTTTTGTTTGTCTGTTTTGGGTTTTTTGTACTGGGGATCACACTCAAGGACCTTGTACTTGCAAGGGAGGTGCAGTGCCACTGAGCTAAATCCCTGGCCCCTTTCATATTTTTTTAAGGTAAGAGACAAGTTTAAATTTTCTGTTTTCAATATTTCAATATGCAGAAGATCTCTCTCCATTTCTGGTCATCTGTCTTTTATTTTGCTCAGTTTTTTTTGTTTGTTTGTTTGGTTGGTTGGTTTTTTGAGACAGAGTCTCACTATGTAGTTGAGACTGACCTGGAACTCACTATGTAGCCCAGGCTGGTCTTGAACTCACAGCAATCCTCCTGCCTCAGCCTCCCAAGTGCTGGGATTACAGGAGTGCGCCACCATGCCTGGCTATTTTGCGCTTTTATTTATACTTTGGGTTTCTTCTATAAGAGAAACCATATAAAATTTAAGCTTGTGAAAAAAAATTTTCTGTTTTCAGATTATAATCAAGGCTAAAAATTCGCTTTTTATCATATTAAATTATTTATAATAAAGTTTGGTGAGTAGTGAATATGCATAGTCTTAATTTCCTTTTGTGCAAATAGTCTCTGTAGATGAGTAATCACAGCAGCCCCTTTCTCTTTGCTTCCTAGTCTTGGTTCGGTTTTGTTGTCTAGCTGAGTGCTCTCAAGTACAGTATGACATGACTTCATCTGTGAAAGAGATATCAAGTAGTAGTTACCTAAGGTCACATTTGGTTATAAATCCTTTCTCTATTCTTTTCTTTTTCTTTCTCTTTTATTTCCCCCCAGACACATGTGGCAGTTCCAGAAACAGCAGTATTACAGACAGTTGCCAATTTGGACAGTCTTATAGCTGTAATAGAATGCCAGCAACCAGAAGGAGACTTGTACAGGTAGGTGTGATGTTCAGTGTATTCATTTTTAGTCTGGAAGACAGACCTATGCTTGTAACTATAAATCTTCTACTTTTCCATTACTTTCTATTTTTTTATAAACTAGTGTGCTTACTTTATAGCTGTGGTAGTATATAGAGATTATTTCCATAGAAGAATCATTATAATGACTTTTTTGTAAGCTACATGAAGTTGAGATTATGTCTTTGTGTTCACTATCGTATAGCACTACTACCTTTAGAGCCTTATGTATGACTTACATAGCTTTCAGTATTTCACATATATAACACATGATAAAGTGAAAAAGAAAAATTTGCATAAATATTATCTTGAAGTCCTATAAATTCCTTAAGGACGGAAACTATATCTTACCACCTAACAGTAAGCACAAAATAGAACAAATTTTTTTAGTGTACTAAGATTTGTAAAGATCCTATTTAAAAGAACAGAGAAACTCTTTAATATTATAGTTTTTAAATAACTAAGCTCATTTTTACTCAGTAACTAGGAGGAGACTAAATTATAACCACATTGTAAAAATCACCTTCAGCTTCTTGTCATATATCTCCCCCTGTTGGTTGAAATTATTCAAAATCTTATCTTTAATGACTGGCATCTTCAAATCTTTAACATGTTTGTTTTGCATCCATATCTTTCTAATGGCGAATTTTCCTGTCCAGTGTTGTAGAAATCTTGCATTTTTTTTCAAAGTCAAACGCAGCATCGAATTCTTCAGTTAACTAAAACATTTGGAATCCTATGTGTTAGGAGCATTTAAACTATAAAATACATTTACTCGTGAAGAATTAAAGTACTTTTAAGATTTCTATATTGCTATTATGCCCTTGTCTCAGCCCACTGCAAATTGTAAAAATTATGAAAAAATAGAAAATGATGCAGTATTAAGCAAGTAGAAGATTAATACGAAATGAAATATTGATGATTTTTTTTTTTTTTTTTTTTACAATACTGGGGATTAAATCCAGGGCCTTTGCACTGGACTACATCCCCAGGCATTGTCCTATTTTGAGACAGGATTGTATTTCTGTTTTGACTAATTAATTTTGCTAAATCCCTAAGCTGCTCAGGAATACTTGGAATACTCCTGCATCAGACTCCTAGAGTGCAGGGATTACAGGGGTGATGCTGTTTGGTTTTGGTTGGTTGGGTTATTTTTTTGTTTTGTTTTGTTTCTTCAGTACTGGGATCAAACCCACGGGCACGCTACCACTGAACTATGTTCCCGAGCCTTTTCATTTTTTGGTTTTAGGTAGGATCTTGTCAGGTTGCCCAGGCTAGTCTCAAATTTATGATCCTCCTTCCTTAGCCTCCCGAGTGTCTGGAATCACAAGCATGCATTATCACACCTGACTTAATTTTTATTGCATGGGCAAAGTATAAGTTTATATTATTTTTTCTTGTTTCAAAATTTTACTACAATTAAATGTTATTAGGTTTTTTGCTAATTATATAGTGATAGTTTTATTGTTTTAAACTAGTTTTAATTTGTATTTTTTTGTTCAAAAGCTAAGACATTTTTCTGTGTTTTAGTTTTTTCCCCCCAGGGACATTATGATTTTTTTTCCTCATTTGCATGTTTATTGACTGGGGTCACATTATTCCTTTTTAAAACTTTTAATAGATTATCAAGAGCAAACATCATAGTTGGGCATGGTAGAGCACACCTGTAATCCCAGAACTCTGGGAGTTGAGCCAGGAGGACCACAGTTCAAGTCAAGCCTGGCAACTTAACAATTTGGTGAGACTCTCTCTCTCGGTGTAGTAGAGGGAGGGGGGGGAGGGAGAGAGAGGGAGAGAGAGAAAAGAAAAATGCTATAGGTGTAGTTTGGTGTGAAGGCCCTGCATCCAACCTGTAGTACCATAAAGAAAGGGAGAGAGACAGTCGTGGTAATAGGTGATTTCTGCTAAGCTGCTGAAAGAAGTAAACACTAGAAGAGCCTTCTGTTCAGGAGCAGCTTCTAGCACGTGCTTATCACAGTTGTCTCCATTTTCTCTCTGTCTGTCTCTCTCTGCCTGCTTTAGTTCTTTCATATTGCCATCGCGTTATATCTTAGATTCTGACTCAGCTCTTCCACAGCTATGAATTTTTTGTAACAAAATAGTAAAATTCTATTCCTAGGAATTTATCTTAATAAAAATGTGAAGAGATTTATACAGTCAGGGCAGGATATTATTTAGGCTGTTCAAAAATTGGAGAGAAAAACTCAACTTCCCATCAGTAGTGATTTAAACAAATTGTCCAGTAACAAAAAATGCAACATTGTATGTGGCTAACTAAAAATAGTAATGTAGATACAAGTTTTTGGTAAGGCATGTTAAGTTTGCAGAGTAATGTTACCAGCAGTATTTGATATGATCATGTTTCATTTTTAGGAGTTGTGTATACATATATATGTGTATTTATAAAAAAGCCTGAAAAACATCCCAAAAATATTAACAGTGTTTATATTTAAATAGTTGGATTACCAACTATTGTTACTCCCTTTTTGATGTCTTTCTATATTATCTGAATGGTTTTATAAAATATGTACATGCTTGAATGTGAATGTAGTCTTTAAATAAGAAAAGAGAATAATAAAGTTATTCTCACTTTGAAAAATCAAAATATGGATTTGGAGAAAGAGATAAATAAAGCACAGGGTGGGTTCAGTATGAAAATGGCCTGAACAAATATCAGTGCTTTTAAATCATGGGTAACAGGACAGATAAAAAGAAACCGACGCCTTGTTGGAATTTAGCTGAAGGAAACAAAAATACTTACCATACATCATCTCTGAAAGGGAGACATCAGCTGAGTTTGTTCTTAGAATCTAAATCCTACTGGATTTAGACTAGAGCCAGGGCTCCATAAAATTCCACTAAGTAGAGAGAATAAAAACCGTCCTTCTCCCTGAGGAGCTGAAGGAAATAGAAGAGGGTGGGAAGAGATTATGAAGCTGTTCTCCAGGGAATACAGGGTCTGTGACCTGGAAAGAGGAGGAATAAGGGGGGACTGTGGGAGGGAACGTTTCTTGGCTTAAAGGTAAACATGAAGCAGAGTTTACTTTTCATGCTAGTAGAAAATACCTCTATGCCTGAATTGACTTTATGCAGTGGAGCAATTAGAACTGAAAGGCCAGTCTGAAAATCCATTAAGATAACCGACCACTCACTCTAGATTTCAGGCAATAAGAAGTTTAAATATGACTATAAGGTGAAAGAAGCTCACTGACAGGTTTTGGCTTACTACTCTATTCCTGCCATTTGACTCTCACATAGTAGTTGCTCAGTGAATAGCTGTTGAATTATTGAATGAATCTATTAGGTCACAGGAGACTAGTAAAATTATAATAAATATGTGAACATTTATTATTGAAATTATGTATTGTTGTGTAGCAGTTATAAATTCTTATAGTGACCAAACTAATAATCGTAATAAGATATAACATATTGGCATTTTGAAAACAGTTTTTCATTCATTACCTCATTTATAACTGGAGGAGAGATGGCAAGATTATTAAAAATTTTAAAGCATAAAGACTACATATTTATTTTTATAATGTATAGCATGACTGTTGGTCCATCCATACGTACAAAAGGTTGACTTTGTTTCGTGGGTGGAAATACTTCTAAAACTGTCTACCATGTTCTGCCCATTGACTTAGTAATATGATATCCTATTTTTATTATGTGGTACCTTCTTTTATAGATTCATGGGACGAATGATAATAACTCAGCAAATGGAAGAAATTGTAAGGTAAGAATAAATTTGTGTTATCTATTCTTAAATGGAGCTGTTCGAGGGTGGCCTGAAAAGTAAAGGGAGGCTGAGTAGACACCCAGCTATCATGGGGTGAGGTTAATTTTAAACCATTTAGCCCCTTACCTGGTAGTAATTTGTAGCACCAACAAGTGAAAATGAAACATCCCATGAAATGATATCAAAATAATTTCACAAGATTTGTATTTCTTTTTAAAATAATAACTGCTTTTATTTAGATCATTACACATTTAAACCCTAATCATTCCGTGCAAGCTAGAATATTTAGTGCCCAGTGCAGAACCAATTATTTATTTCGATTGTTTTTTTGCTTATTTGGTTATGTTTCTTTGTCTTCTCTCAATATTCAAGTTAATTTTTGGCATCTTAATGAAAGGCTTTGGGTCAGTTAAAATATTTACTCATAGAATAAAATTATGTTGTTACTAATGACCAGGGGGTTTAAATCAGAATCAATCTTGAAATTATCCCTGAATTTCTAATCAAATATGACCTGCCACTTCTTTTTTGGAGACATGTTTAGTTTAATATTGTCTGCAGGAAATAAGTCACTAATAGAGTTAAGCACTTTTAAAATGAAATCAACAAGCCACCAAATTATATATCAGCACTGATTCACATTTTAATGAACATTACATAGGAGCACAGTCAGTAAACTCTGTAAATAAGATCTTTCTATGTGTAGAGTCCCTGCTGACTATGACTTGGTTTTATTTTTATTTCTATAGTGAAATAGTGAAAAATATGTGGACGTATCACGTGAATTGCATTAAGATACTGAGGCTGGTAAAGGAAAGTAGCGATGATGTTCTTTCCTCTCCTAGATAGTTAAAATATTGAACTTTGTTCTTTACTGAAGCAATTGGCGTGAACTGATGAATTGGCTATAAAATCTAAAGCTTGTATGCCAGTGTGAACTCAAAGCATTTTCTTTATTATTAAAAGCGATACCAAAGAGAACAGAGCCACTTTTCAGTTCCAGAAGAATTGCCACATTGGTTTTGGATCCATGCAGTACACTCCAAACATCTGATAAAAATCATACTTTTTAACTGTGTCCCAGACACTTGGCCCTCCTTGGCGCATCACATTTTTTTACAGTTTGGGTTTGCAGATATTTTTAAATCAGTGATTCAGATTCTCTTTGCTTTAGATAACTATGTATGTATTGTTCAGACAAGCATATGGGATATCAACAAAATAAAGACTAATTTATCTGTAACAGACTCTTAATAATTTTGCTATCACTAAGAAGATACAATTTCCTTTCTAGTTATTCCTTGTCATTTTATATCTCCTTTATGGAGAGAAATTCAAACAGCAAGAAGACGTGTGCTCCAAGAAGTATGCAATGCAAGTAGCCAAGTTGTACCATGTGATCTTGCCTACAAAATACACTAACATATTTTCTACATTATATGTTATAATCCAGCATAATTTTAATTGTGCAGAACTTGTGCATTTATACACAAATTCACAGTTCATGTTCATACTGCATTTTAATTCAGCTGTTTCCAAAGCTCAATTAATTTTGCTCAGTTTTTTAAAATTCCATTTTCTGCTTAACTTTCTTAAATCACTGCTTAATCTTTGATTTTGTTAATTTATGGTTAAACATTTTGAAACTAGTGGCTTTGTGAGTTTATTGACATGGCTACTTTATTTCGGAGCCACTAACCTTAACGTGACTGAAATGCTAAAGCAGGTGTTTTGTAGGTGTTTGTTGTTATGGTAACTAACATCATGGTTGGTCTAGGCAGTTTTATAATAGCTAGGGTTTTGGTGTTGTATGAAACCAGTGTATTACCTAGCACTCAAGTATTTCCTACTGAAGATGCCTCTTAGTTAAATTGAATTTTTTTATAGTTAAGTTTTTTTTTTAATTTTCTCTTTTTTTCTTAGGCCTCTGGGCCCAGAGAGTCTCTTACTTCGTGGAGCCAGATTAAAAAACACAAAAGAAATTTTTGGTTTGTACATACTTAAATATTCTTTTGTATTGGTGGTTCATATGAAGTATTTTAATAAGCAGCATATATGGCCTTTTCATTGAACAGTTTATTAATAAAATACATATGGTAATTTTCTTAGATTGTCAATATTGGGTTTTTTTTTTATTGTTGTTAACGTTTTTGAGTAATAGACTAGGACCTTGCTCTTTAATTTTCTTTGAGGTGACTTGTGAAACTGAATACTAAGAAAATAATTCGGAGCCAGGTGTGGTGTCCCAGCACTCAGGGGGCTGAGGCAGGAGGATCGCTGTGAGTTCGAGACCAGCCTGGACCTCATAGTGAGTTCAAGGCCAGCCTGAACTAGATAGTAAGACCTTGCCTCAAAACAAACAAACAAACAAAAAAATCTGTACTTCTAGTAATATGGATGAGAACCAGTGTAATTTAGCACTATGTTGTGATAAACCACTTCTGTAATTCCATTATGCATAGTAGACCCTGAATCCACTCTGGACAAATTGTGACATTGAGAACAACTTTTATCTATCAACTAGCTCCTCCAGTTTCTGGAGGAGCCTCTTTTTTTCTCTTCAGTTTTTATTTTTTATTAGTCCATGTTTGCATTATATAATGATTACATTCCTTGCAGGGAATCGGTACCTGTACATGACACACCTCAATTCTTCATCCCATTCTTCTCCCCTTTCTCCTCCCCTTCCCATTTGAAAAAGATCTAGCTCCCTGTTTCCTGCTACCTATCATGTATTTTGCGTGCATACCCCATGTTGATAGCAGCATGATTCGTAATAGCTAAATCTTGAAGCATCCTATGTATTTATCAACAGATTGCATGGATAAAGAAAATGTGGTATTTATATGAAATGGAGTACTTGGGACTATAATGCTAGGTCAAATCAACTCACAAACGAGGTTTCTCTTATATAAGAAACTCAAAATATAAATAAAGAGCAAAATAACTACCACTTCTGAGATCTTCTTATTCTCTTTCATATACCTGCACTTTATCCTACCAAAGTGTTAGACACTCTGATAAAGAAATTCATACTTTCAAAAAGAATATTGGCAATGATGTGTAAAAATTAGAATCCTCATACATTGCTGATGGGAGTGTAAGATGTTGCAGCTGCTATGAAAATCAGTTTGTCAGTTCTTCAGTAAGTTAAACATAATATTAGCATATGACTCAATCTTATTCCAAGCCTGTACCCAGAGAACTCAAAATGGGTATTCAAACAAAAACTTGCACAGAATGTTCATAGCAGCACTATTCACACATAATAGCCAAAGGTTGGAAATAGCCCAAAAAGATAAGCAAAATTTGATATATCTGTATGCCGGAATACTACTCGGCCATAAAAAGGAATGAATCTTGAAAATATATTAAGTAAAAGAAGCCAGACATCAGTGAACTGTATTGTACGATTCCATTTATTTGAAATACTCAGACAGATTCATGGAGCCAAAATAGGTAAGTTGTTCCCAGGGACTAGGGAGTGATTGTTTAGTGGGACCAGGGTTTTCTTCTCTAGTTAGAGTCTGAATGTACTAAGTGCCACTGACTTCATACAGACTTCATACATACAGTGATGGATTTTTTTCTCATTTAAAGATGGGGAAATTGAGACTTGGAATACTTCTAGCCAAAGCTGTAGGACTGTGAGTTGCAGAGCTAGTATTCAAGCCAAGGTCTAACTGCAGCTTTTTTTTTATAAAGCTGGTTTTGTCTAATTTCATTCATTGCCAGATTGCAGTTCTGTTATTATTACTCTCATTCTTACTCATATCAGTCCTTCACATGAACCTTTTAAAAATAGCATTTTGTTTGTGTTTATATAGTGTGCTCTGACGAAAATCCTTGTTATCTCTCTGTGCTTATGGAATGATGCCCAGAGCAGATTGCCACTCGAGGCCTTTCGATTTCTGGCCCTAATCCATTGTACCAACCTAACAGAGTGTGCTTTCCCTTTGCATCTTTGTTAACTGCTAGCTCCTTCTGTAGAGGCCATCTATTCTTTCCCATCTCTCTCTTCCATCAGTTGTAATTCTAGTTATATCTCTTCATACCTTGGGAGCAATACTCCTATGGGCTTCCCATGCAGCAGATTGACTGGGGCTGTTACTTTTCTTTTACTTTTCTTGATGCTCAGACAAAATACCTGGCACCCAAAGTTAAAGGAGAAAAGGTTTATTTCACTCAAAGTTTGTAGCGGTTTCCATCCATAATTGGCTGGCTCCAATGCAGGGTGGCCTGGCAGAGGGGCCTCATATAGGAGAACAGTTGCAGAAGGTAGCAAAGCAACCAGGGATCACCACAGCTCTTTCTGTCCCTTATATCTTATCCAGGCTGCTTAGGGAAGGTAGTACTCAGCCTTAATCCTAACGTCCTTGATCCTAGCTTTGCACCATGAATCAATCCCAGCGTTACATACTCTACATTCAGCCACTTCTGAAAGACGCCCGCCTATGACCACATGAGGCTTTGGGGGGCCATCTGGACACAAGCCTTAACAGGCTCCCCAAAATTAGGCTTGGCAAATGTTTAAAAACTATGAAAAGACTCAAAGAAGAGCCAAGTTATAACAACTGTCAGACAGAATCTTTTCTTAAAAGCTTGAATGCTAGTAAGTACATTCATTTCCTGTGAGCATACCAGAAGATTGTTGTAAGAGGGTTCTGTTTTGTTCTATAGGTGTTGCTGTGTATACCGGAATGGAAACTAAAATGGCATTAAATTACAAGAGCAAGTCACAGAAAAGATCTGCTGTGGAAAAGTAAGAAAACTCTGTTTTCATTTATGCATAATTATTACTATATTTAATAATCTAAATCTTACAATTAGTAGATAAAGAACTTTAAAGTAGATGTTATAAGTATGTTTAAGGACCTAAAGGAAAATTTGAACATATGGAAAACTCAGAGACTATAAAAAAGAACCTATGGAAATTCTCAAGTTAAAAAATATAATAGCTAAAATATAAACACCATGAGATGAATTTGACATGAAATTGAGTAAAGCAGAAGACATTGTCTATAAACTGGAAAAAAAGCAATACAAATTACTCACTTTGAAGAACAGAGAAAAAAGATTAGGGGAAAAAAGTTTCAGAGCCATGTGAGACAATAGGCTCTCTAGCATAAGTATCATTCTTTTCCTCAAAAAAGGGACAGCATAAAAATATTTGAAAATGTGACTTGAAAATTTCTACAAGTTGAGGGGAAGGAAAAAAAAAAATAACTCAGACTTCCAAGATCAGCAGATGCCATGCAGAAAAAATAACACATTATAATCAGACTACTAAAATCTATTTTAAAAAAGAGAATGTGAGGGCAGGGGTAAGGGGAAAAAATGAGAATCAAGACTTGTCATGTAGAGGTACAAGATCCCAACAATGAATGTAACTGTACTGTATCCCTAAAATGTAGCAATAAACTCAATTAAAGCTGAAAAAAAAATTTTTTTAAAAAAAGAGAATGTATCGTAAGCAGTCAAGGGAAAAACTGTACTGTCCCTAAAATGTAGCAATAAACTCAATTAAAGCTGAAAAAAAAATTTTTTTAAAAAAAGAGAATGTATCGTAAGCAGTCAAGGGAAAATATATCACATACAAGTGAATACCAGTATCAGTGATGCCAGTCAAAACAGCAGACAGTTGTGAATGAACTTCTGAGAAGTGTTGAAGGACAACAAGGTCATCCCAAGTACCTAGAATATCTAACCATATATATATTTTAAAACACCTACAAATCAATAATGAAAATAGAAACAGCCTAAGGAACAAGTAGGCCAAAGACTGGAGTAGAAACTTGACAAGGAAAACCTCCAAATGGCTAATGAGCACAGAAAAGAATGTACAGTGGTGGGCCAGGGATTTAGCTTAGTGCCATGCCTGCTTGCAAGTGCAGTGTCCCAAGTTCAATCCCTGGTACAAAAAAAACAAAAACCAGGATATACAGGGGCACCTTGGCTCACAAATGCTTTTGTTTATAAATAATTTGGTTCACAGACAGAAGCATGTGGCAAAATTTTGTTTTTGTTTGCAAACTCTGCATCGGGTGACAAATAGGACCATGGGCATCTCTCCCAAAATCGTAGAACAAACTGAGTTCATGAACTGAGGTACCACTGTACAGCCTCATTAGTCATGAGAGATGCAAATCAATATTGTAAGGAGATACCAATAAACACATAATAGAATGACAAAAAAGACAAAATTGCAAGTATTGATAAAGATAAAAACAACTGGAACTCTTCTAAAAAGTCAAAGAGGAGGCTTCAAAGAAAAAAAATTTTTAACTAGAAGATAATAAAAATACCGTGTATTAAAATTTGTGGGATTCAACTAAAGCAGTGTTGATAAGGAAATTTGTAGCACCAAATATATTAAAAGAGCAATGTCAAACAGAAACCAAAATTAAAAACACAAGATCATTTACAGTTGCCCCCCAAAGAAAAATCCAGGTATATATCTAACAAAATGTAGGCCTCTGTGCTAAAAATTACAAAATGCTGAGAAAGATCTAAATATATGGAACAGTATAACATATTTATGGTTGGAAGACTTGGTAGGATAAAAATGCCAATTCTCCCAGATCAATCTAGTTTTAATGCAGCTCTTATTTAAATTCCAGCTAGAGCCAGGCATGGTTATGTAAGCTTATAATCCTGGATCTGTAGGGGACCAAGTCAAGAGGATTGCAACAGTGTCCATGTCCTGAGTTCAGTCTCCAGTGCCACCAAAGAAAAAAATTCCCACAAGATTTTTTTGTAGAAATAGACAAGTTTATCCTGAAATTTATGTAAAAACACAAAGGAACTAACATAGTTAACAATTTTGGAATTAAAAGATGAAGTGAGAGTAATCACTATCTGGTGTTAAGACTAACAGCATAACTCCAATAATCAAGACGATTTGTTATTGATGTAAGAAAATAAGACAACCCACAAGCATAAAATTAATTTTGGGAAGTGGCATGAAAATATTACAGTGGAAGGAAGAGAATCTTAAGTGGTACTAAAATAATTTTATATTTGTAGCAGGAAAAAAAAGCTAAGCCCTATACCACATACGGTAACTGATTCAGATGGAATATAGATTAAATGTAAAACATGAACTAGAGGTGTAGCTTGGTGATGGGGCACCTGCTTAGCGTGTACAGGTCCTGTGCTCAATCTCTGGCACCACAATAACGAAATTCATTAATTTAACAAAACATATTTTTTTTAAAAAGTCCTTTTAGAAGGTCCTAGATCTCAACCTGCCAAAGATTAAAACTAGACCCTTATCTTTCACCATGCACTAAACTAAAATCCAAGTGGATTAAAGATCTAAATATTAAAACAGAAACACTAAACTTGCTGGAAGATAAGTTAGGCAAAACTCTTGAAGACATTGGCATAGGAAAAGACTTTATGAACAAATCCTCAATAGCATGGGAACTAGCAGAAAGAATCAACAACTGTTATCTCATCCTATTAAAAAGCTTCTGCACTGCAAAAGAAACCATCAGCAGAACTAAGAGACAGCCTACAATGTGGGAAAAATTTTTTACCAGCTGTTCCTCAGACAAAAGACTACTATTTAGACTATATAAAGAACTCAAAACAATCAGCCCCCCCAAATATAAAGACCCAATTCAAAAATGGGCATCTGAAATGAACAGACATTTCTTAGACAACCAAGTAAAAGCAGCAAGTAAATATATGAAAAAATGTTCCACATCACTGGTCATTCGAGAGATGCAGATGAAAACAATACTAAGATTCCACCTCACCCCACAAAGAATGGCTGCTATGAAGAAATCATCCAATAACAAATGTTGGCAGGGTTGTGGGGAGAAAGGAACCCTTCTCCATTGTTGGGAGTGCAGACTGGTGCAACCACTATGGAAATCAATATGGAGATACCTCAAAGAGATGGGACTAGAGGTTCCATTTGACCCAGCCATCCCTCTGCTGGGTGTCTTTCCAAAAGAATTAACGAAATCATACCACAGTGACATATGTACACCAATGTTTATAGCAGCACAATTTGTAATAGCTAAAACTTGGAAACAGCCCATTTGCCCATCCGTTGGAGACTGGATAAAGAAGATGCGGTTTTTCTATAAAATGGAATACTGCTCAGCCATAAAGAATGAGAAATTAGATTCATTCATAGGAAAATGGTTACATATTGAGGATGTACTCCTAAGTGAAATATATGTCACACTTGTGTAAATACGGAATAGTTTCTTTGGTATGAAAAGCTGTAATAGTACATAAGATCCTAATGAGATAATTGACCATGTGAAATAGGAAGAAAAGGGCTAAAGGTGTAGGGAAAATGGGAAGGGTAGGGGAAAGCTAATAAGGGAAAAGAAAAAAAATATGAGAAAATGAAAAAACGGAAATAAAGTGTTTATAAATGGGGAGGGGAGGAGGTGGTGAAGGGAGGGCAGGGATAAAGGGGGAAAAAAATGAGAACCAAGACCTGTCATGTAAAGGTACAAGATCCCAGTAATGAATGTAATTGTATGCCTAAAATGTACCAATAAACTCAATAAAAGGAAAAAAATAATAAAAGGTCCTATAGTTAGGCAGTTATTAACACCAAAAACCACAGTCACTAAATAAAAAGAAATTAATAAATCAGATTTCACCAATTTAAAACTTTTGAAAGACTTAGGATGGAAAATGGAAAAGCAAGGTAGAGCTAGAGGGACTATTTGCAGACCACAAAACTGTGTGTGTGTGTGTGTGTGTGAGAGAGAGAGAGAGAGAGAGAGAGAGAGAGAGAGAGAGAGAGAGAGAGACAGGGTTACAATGACAAAACGATACAGATAGGGACAGATGAGTGCTGCCAGGGGGTGGGGCTGGGGCTGGGGCTGGGGCTGGGTGTAGCTACAGTCCTGTTTGGTGGTTACAGAACAGTTCTCAGTAGTGGTACTTAATCTGTATGTGGGATTAAGTTGTGTAGAGCTCTGCACACACATACAAATGAGTGCAGGTTTTGTGAATAGTGAAAGCAAACCTGTAGTTTAATTCACTGATGTACTAGTGGGGAAAAACGGTGGCTAAGACTGCATGGCACTCTGTACTGTTTCTACAACTGAAGTTTTGTTCAAAACAAAAAAGTTTAAAGTTGATCAGGTGACAAGATAAAAGAAAAAAGATAAGCATTAAAAGCCAAGTGTGGTGGCGCACGCCTGTAATTCCAGCACCTGAGAGGCTGAGGCAGGAGGACTGCTTAGAATTTGAGACCCATGTGGACTAAATAGTAAGTTCAGGATCCGCCTGAGTTGCATCATGAAACCATGTCTCAAAAAATTAAATGGGTAATTGGAATGGAAGAAAATATAGATGAAATGAAAATGGTAAAATGCCAACATATTCAAGATGTCTTGGCACATAATGTTTTATTACAGTGCTCTATGTGTATTTCAATTTTTGTGAAAAGTTTCTTCATTTCAAAAAATGTTTTTAAAATTGAACATGCATTTGTTTCAGCAGCACATAAATCTTAGAGCAGTATAGAGGATCTAGCATGGCCCAGGCACAGGCTGACATAAAAACTCATGAAAGGATGTATATTTTTAAACATTAGGATCAATAAAATTAAAAACTGGTGATATTAAGATAGAAAATTAAGATATTAAAATAGAAATTGGGTAGGGAGGATCAGCGAGAGTTAATACATTAATAACCATAGAAAATTTGCTATGTTATTATTGTTTCAACTCTAAAGTCTTATACATGAACTGTTAAGAGACTTTAAAACTATCAACAGAAGGGCCTGGGATTTAACTCAGTGGTTCCCCGCCTGCCTCTCAAGTGCAAGGTCCAAAGTTTGATCCCTGTTTATTGTACCAATAAACCAAAAATAAAAAGAGAGGTCTCAAAAATAAAATTTATCAACAGAATTTCGATTGCGTTTTAAAGCAGTCTAGAAATATGTACTGGGTCAGTGATTTAGCTCACTGGTTCCCGCCCACCTATCAAGCACAAGGACCCAATTCGATCCCCAGTACCCCCCAAAAAAATATGTACTATAGTTTCTCTGGTGTGAAAAACTATAATAGTACACAAGATCCTAATGGGATAATTAAGAGTGTGAAATGGGAAGAGATGGGCTAAAGGTGTAGGGAAATTGGCAAGGGTGGGGGCAAGGAAATAAGGGAAAAGAAAAAATATGAGAAAATGAAAAAATGGAAATAAAGAGTTTGTTAATGGGGAGGGGAGGAGGAGGTGAAGGAAGGGCAGGGACAAGGGGAAAAAATGAGAACCAAGACCTGTCATGTGAAGGCACAGGATCCCAGTAATGAATGTAACTGTACTGTAGACCTAGATTGTACCAATAAACTCAATAAAAAGGAAAAATAAAATATGTACTGAATTTGTGTGTGTGTGTGTAGCTCTGTTGTAGTGCTAGGTTTTCTAAGCTACAGTTTTTTCTGTATTTGGTGTTTACAGTCAGTTTGGAAGTTAAAACTAATATATAATGAAAAATTTGATAGTAATTGCAGGCTGGGACTTGCTTAATTTAAACAAGAGAAAGTTGAATATAAATTTAATCAAGACACTTCAGGAAGATGATGACTTTTGAGTTAAACATTTAAAACTTGGTTAAGCAAATATATAGAAATTGATTACACAGTGTAGGCAAGCTGGATTGTCTGACAAGACAGGCATGAACAGAGACGGAAGGTAGAGACAGACCAGGCAATATAGGAGAATAAAGGAGACACAGTGAGAGTGGTAAAGAGATCAGAATTTGGAGTCAAGACAATATGTAGATTTGAACTTCACATCCCCTGGTTGTTAGCTACATGGCCTTGGAGCAGTTTTATTCAGTAGAACCAGATGTTTTCCTGTTTAAAAACATGAGCAGTACTGGTGACGAAGTATTAACAGGGTGCCCAATACATAAAAACCAAACAAAAAAACAGTTGTTTTAGGCCCCTTTTTCTCACCGTATAATAGCATTTATGTTGGAAGATAACTGAATATAAACTACTTGCATAATTAAGGTAAAGTTAAATTATGGAATGCCTAGAGAGAAAAATCACAGCCCAGCCATTTCCTATCGGTAAGAGCTTTTTCAGTGCCTATGACCTGCATTTTCCCTAAATATTTGTTGGATGCCAGAGGGTTCATCATACTGTTGTTTATTTGATCTATATTTGGATTTTTAAATGAGATAACATAACATTTTAATTACATAAATTAATAATAACATTTTAATTACATAAAAAAGTATGGTTTCAAACCTAGAATCAGGTGTATCTGGGCCAGATATTTGGCACAGTGGTTCCACCGCCTGAGCACAAGGGCCCAAGTTCGATCCCTGGTACCCCCCACAAAAAAAAATCAGCTATGTCATATTAAGCTTGCTTGGTGAAAAGAAAAAGGCTCTGAAGTCAATTTCTGGTGATTTGAAGAAATTATATAACTAGATTTGAGTCTTCATCAATTAAAAGGACTTAGTAATTCCTTCATAGGGTTTCTAAAAAAAAAAGATTAAGTAAAATAGTGGATGTAACAAATTTTGTAAAATTTTAATGCTGTATAATATTATTTTTATTTATTGTAGTTACAATTAGATGGGCCCTGAAAATACAAAAAAAAAAAAATCTTAGAATAGTTACAGCAAAAATAAGTTGCAAAGCTACTTGCTGTAACATCTGTATGTATTAGTTCTTTTATTGTCGGAAAATAGATTCTGATGAGTGATCTTTTCCTGAAAATAAAGACTATGTCCTTTAAAATAGCTGTAGTAGGGCTGGGGTTTAGCTCATTGGTGTCACACCTGCCTGGAAAGAGCCAGGTCCTGAGTTTGATTCCTGGTACCGAAAAGAAAGATAGATAGATAGACAGACAGACAGACAGATAGATAGATAGATGGTAATTCTTTGCATATTTTTATATAAGTATTAATCTCTAAGCAAACATAGTAATATATATTGATATGTTTCATGTCTTTTTCTTATTTCAGATCAATGAACACATTTTTGATAATTTACCTAATAATCCTTATTTCTGAAGCCATCATCAGTACTATCCTGAAATATACATGGCAAGCCGAAGAAAAATGGGATGAACCTTGGTATAACCAAAAAACAGAACATCAGAGAAATAGTAGTAAGGTATTTCATAATGTTCATAACTTTGCTGTAAAACAGACTTTACTTTTTGACACTGTTAGTGCTTTAGAAGTAACTTATAATAGGAAGGACCACTGTGATCTCATAAAACTATCAGCCCTGACGCAGTGACATTGCAAACAGAGCAGTCAGCATGTTTGTATTGGAATGCTTTTCAGAGTTTAGGACATTGTCCCTATGTAATGTTTCAAAAATCACAAAAATTTAAATCCAGCTCTATTTGCATTCCACTTAAATACTATAGGTTCAGTTTCCTATTCTGTTTACTGTCTTATAAATGAATTAAAGAGAATTTGTTTTCAGTTCTGTCTGAATAGTTCAAGAAGTCTTATTGTCTTGATGATACATGTGAAGTAATTCACAAATTACCTAAAGTTTTAAACTGATTAACTATGGATTACCAACAGAATATAACCTATAATTTTGTCTAAAAAATGTTTTCCAAATTTTACTCTAGATTAAAATACAAATACTACTGGAAGACAAAATTAGGTCACAAGAGACCACAAAGCAGATAAATACAGGGTCATATTTTCAGAATCACTCTCATCCATAACTATGTGCTTTACCTTTTATGAAAAGCATGGGTATCTGTTCTCCTATGCCTTTGATGGAGGCTTTTCCTATGTAATAGTCACATCATGGTTTTAATTTCTAAGAAACTATAGTCTTGCAACGTGCTAAAAATTTTTTTTTGTTTTTTTTTTTGTTTTGTTTTGTTTTTTTGTTTTTTGAGACAGGGTCTCACTATGTAGTGGAGACTGACCTGGAACTCACTATATAGCTCAGGCTGGTCTCAAACTCACTATGATCCTCCTGTCTCGGCCTCCTGAGTGCTGGGATTACAGGCATGTGCCACCACACCTGGAAAAATTTTTTGAAGTTATGCTCCATTTTTAGTTTATGGTTTTGAAGGGTAATAGAATGGATAAGTGCACTCCAAAAGGTATAGTTAAAATTTCCCCAAAAGTAGTCATACTAGGTGACCTTTAGCTTCTGAAGAGTAACTTTTTTTTTTTTCTTTTTTTTTTTTGAGACAGGGTCTCACTTTGTAGTTCAGGCTGGCCTCAAACTCAAGGCAATCCTCCTGCCTCAGCCTCCCCAGTTAGGATAACAGGCATCCACCACCATACCTAGCTATAGAGTAACAAATTAAATTATTTGAATTTAACCTTTTACATTGATCAAGATTCTAAGTAAACAGAGGAAATAAAATAAGACAATTCAATAAATGAATTTCATAATCTATTCTATCTCAGAATAGTTGATCTGTTTATGCATGAAACTGATCATTTTCTTCAGTGATATTGAAAGAATTCTCTGGTATTTTCTTTTATGAAATAATCATTTCTTTTTTTTTTCTCCCCAGATTCTGAGATTTATTTCTGATTTCCTTGCTTTTCTGGTACTCTACAATTTCATCATTCCAATTTCATTATATGTAACAGTTGAAATGCAGAAATTTCTTGGATCGTTTTTTGTTGGCTGGGATCTTGATCTCTATCATGAGGAATCAGATCAGAAAGCTCAAGTCAATACCTCCGATCTGAATGAAGAACTTGGGCAGGTAAAAGTGATGTTAAGATTTTATTTTTCTAATTTTTTTAGAGCAAAGCATATACAAAGCTAATGTAGCAAAATAATACACTTGATCTTGGCAAAAGGCCAAGAAGCAATGAAACAAAATAATACAAAGCTTATCCCAAAACAGCCCTGCTTTGCTTCACTCTTAATTTTTACTCCCATTTAAAAATCTTCTGTTTCTTCCATTATTTACCAACATGCGATGCTTTTTCTTGATTTTAAAATCTTAGGTGTTCTGTATTGCAGAATATACAGTGTCTTCCCATGTACGTATCCACATGACATGCCCGCTTTGCTGCACCAAAGCCGGGAATTAATAAATATTTACTAATTGATGTTGTTATGACTTTTAATATTGTTCCCAGTTCTTCATGTAATCTTTATGATATTGTATTTCTTTGATATATAAACATATATATAGAACTGCTTTGTCATTTGCTTTCTTTGACACATATATGAAGTATCTCTGTATATCCAGACACATCAGTAAATCTAAGATTGTCTTTTTCTGTCTCTCTTTTTCATTTTTGATTTTTGTATTTATTTTTGAGACAGAGTCTCACTTTCTTGTCCACGCTGATCTTGAACTTGGGCTTTACCCTCCTCAGCCTCCTGAGTGCCTGGGGCTACAGACGTGTGCCAGTGTACCCAGCTTTATTATTTTACATAGTAAAATTCCTGTGTCGAGTATATGTGTGTTTTATATTCCCCATAACACAGATTTTTTTGTTTGTTTTTGTTTTTTGAGACAGGTCTCACTATGTAGTAGTTCAGGATGGCCTCAAACTCATGGCCATCCTCCTGCCTCAGCCTCCTGAGTGCTGTGCCACCACACCCGGCTCATAACAGATCCCAAAGTGGTTTCTCACTCATCTTTTTATCTTGGCCAAAACAATTTTTTCCGATTTTAAGTGGACCTTTCTTTTTGCATATTGATCTTTTATCCTGTTACCTTACTGAACTTATTTATTAGTTTTAATAAATATTTTAGTGAATTCTCTAGGTTTTTTTTTCATATACAGTTATTTCATGTTAGTAGTTTGGCCTCCCCCCCCCCC